TGCTCTTATTTTACAGGTGAGCAAACTTGAGTTCCACATTCAAAGTGACTTTCTCGGGGCTGGGGATTTAGCTCAGCGGCAAAAGCGCCTGCCTGGCAAGTGCAAGGTCGTGAGTTCGGTTCCTGGTAAAAAAAAAAAAAAAAAAAAAAAAAAAAAAAAAAATTGCTCTGTAAAATGCTTTCCCTTGGTTACAGATACTTTGTCTCATCGGTTTCCCATTGCCCTGTCTTTGCTCCTGCCCTTCCCTTGATCATCTCTGGCTCTCACGAACGTTAACTTGTAATTTGTTCCATCCAGTCCCTGAGCAGCAGAAGTACTGTGGTACTTATTTCTATGGTACTTATTTGTCAAGTACCATAGAAAGCAGGGGTAGCTCTTATTTGTCAAGTGCCATAGAAAGTCTTACATGCCTTCTCCCTCATCTGATCTATGCACTGGGAGCAGAACCAGTGTGCACCCAGGTTTCAGATGAGGCAAGTGAGACCCCAAGTGAGAACTAAATCCTGGTATCACACAGCCCTTAAATTGTCAGAGCTGCCTTCCCAGTGAGTGGGGTCCAGGCACTGCTGTCTGTTGTGAAACTGCTCTGTGAGCAGCCTCCTGAGACAATCAGGCTTCTGATCCTCCCCACTGCTTCCCCACCCATCTGCAGGCACTGGTTGCTCACAAGCTAGTCCAAGACATTCTTGAGATTCTAGCTCTTTCCTGAAGGCCAGTATGGGCAGTCTGTGGTTTCTGATCTCTACTTCTATCACTAAAAGACCTGGTGGCCTAAAACATATGCTCATATAAGGCTCAGATGGCTCACTTGATTTTGGATGTCACCTAGATGCTCTTTTTCTAATTGTCTTCTTCTATTAAAAAGAAACCTATCCTCCTCCTGTGTATAAATGAGAATTGAAGTCAACTATGACTAAGATTATTAAAATAAATTATGCAGTATAAAAAGGGAGGGAATGTTACAGTGGAATCCTGGGAATAGCAGCATTTAAGTATGATGTTTCTGGAGCTAGAAGAGAGATCTACTGGGAGTGTTACTAAAGTGGATAAGCACAAATCAGTGCAGACAAGTCACTGATTTAGGCAAGCAGATAGAAGCTAGAGTTTATTTTTGCTGAGCTTTACGGTTTCTCTTCCCTACTTCTTAGGAAGAGGCTGAAAGGCAAAGGGCGATGGCTGAAGCAGAACTCAGAAGACAGCAAATACAGCTCGAGCATCTCCAAAACATGATTCACTCCGCAGGCCGTCGCCACCGCCGTGATCAATGCATCTTACAATAAAATAAAGAAAATCCAAATTTCTTATCTTTCTCCTTTTCACTGCAGACACAAAGGAACAAGAAATTATAGAACTTGGGACAGTTGACATTTAAATAATAGCAATGTCTCCTGTTAATTCTTCTTTTAAGTAGAGGTCATCGACCCCACAGGCTGGGTCAAATGGACATTGGTCAAGACCTTGGGCTCAGTTGGAAGCTCCCCCGATGGTGGGCATATGCTGGATGCCATCAGAGAGAGAGACATTGGTGTTAAAGTGGAAACGATGTACAGCTCTTATCTGCGCAGTGGTCTGACTCCTCAGCAGGGTCAGCAGACCATCTGCATAGAGAAAGTTCAAGCTGAGAGCGAATAATGTTATGGTGGAATGGAGATCTTTTAGAAGGTGAAAGGAAATACCAACATGGAAATTATATCATAGGATATAATTTCTCCTTTTTGTTCACCCTGATTAAAGGTATAATTTAAATAAGATGTATTGCAATAAGAAGCAATTTATATTAAACTTAATAACTGTGTGTTCTATGTTTAGGATTCTTTAGAGTTGGTAAATAGGTAATATAAGGAATACTGTAAAATGTGCCACTAACTTGATAAGGCTCATTTAATATTATGCTTACTTTAATGCTAAAATTAAAACATGCAAATACTTTGTAGTCATATGTGAAAACATGCTGAATTTTTAAAATTATAGATTATATAAGTATATACCTATATATAAACAGTCTTAACTTTAAAATGTTTTGAAAACTATAAATCTACTAATCTGATTTTATTTTCCCCACTAGTTAAGTCTACAGGCTAGTTTGCTTTAAGCCTGGTATTAAAGCACACATTTTGAACATCTTTTTGTATTCTGTTCATTTGTCTTGTTCAAATACAGTAATACATGTTTAAAAATCATACAACAATACACAAAGCTCTATAGTGTCTCCTTTGCATAACAGTTTACTCATGTAACAAATATCTCAGTTGGGTTCTAGTAATAGAAATTCTACTCCAAATGCGATTTAGTTTTTTACAGAAGAAAAGTAGGCTAGTGTTAATATCTGCACATTTTCTATTCTTTAGAGGCTAGACATCTGAACTTCGCACATCAGATAGGGTTTGGTGCAGCTCTGCTATATTTCTGAATTTGATGTGAACTTCAGAAAGTATCAGTATGTTGACTGAGCACTCTAATACCTCTGCAATTTGTACAAAACATAAAGAAAAAAATAAAGTAATATTGAAGCCCAAGGAGTAGGAAGAAAAAACATTTTGCATTACTGCCACCATGTTAAATATATTTTATAAATCCTGAGACTCAGCATAATTAATACATTTACCTCGTGTTCCTTTCTTTGAAATGGTTAGTCTGCACTATATTACAAAATGTAGATCTGTACCCCAATACATTTTCTATTGTATGTTCTTCACCAAAAATAAGGGCTTTTTCCTTCCTTAGAAATCACCAGAGAAATATATTGCTTTCACTAGTAAACCACAAACATTCTCTCCACCAGGTCAGAGGCTCCCACTCGTCCCCAAATGGTCTCTCACAGGACAGCGGTTAAATAAAGAATAACAAAAGGCCCCCCAAGGTGAACATGATAGTTTTTTGAAGCTACCAAGTCCTAAACTATGTTTTCTGATCTTCTTGGTTCTACTCTTGTGAAATTAACTGATTTCACAATTAAATTTTTCTTTCTTTCTTTTTTTTTTTTCTTTTGGTGCTGGGGATTGACCTCTGGGTCTTGTGCATGCTAGGCAAGCAACCTACCACTGAGCTACATCTCCAGCCCCTAAAAGATTAAATTTTAAATGTAAAGAAAAGTGACAAAATAATTCTGCTCGAGAGCCTCTGATGACACACAGCCCCCTGTTCATGCCTTGATTTTAGCCTCACTCTAATTTCCCAGAATTGTAAAGTAATATGCTCCTGTTGTTTTGAGGCACCAAGTCTCTGGCAATTCATTACAACAATAAGAAGAAACAAATATACCTTGTTTATTAGTTAACATTATACGTAATTATTAATGTAAGCTAATATTTATTCAGAACTTATTGTATGTCAATTTTTATCATTACAAAAGCTCCTCTATTGCCAGTAAAAATCCTATGAACATTTAGCACTGTTCTATTATAATTATTACAATGTTATTAATATGTATTACTAGTTATTCTTAATAAAGATATCATTAAGGCATTGGAATTAAATAATATATCTAAAAAGCTAAACCACGGAAGACCCTTCCAATCTAGGCCGTACATCACTAGTAATTCTGTGATACACAGGACGCTGACCATAGAAAACAATAATGCACTGCACATTTCAAAAAGCTAGAAGACAAGATTTTGTAAGTTTTCACCATAAAGAAATATTAAATGAGGAGATACATTTAAACTGATTTAAAGATGGCACAAAGCAGACACATACGGAAACATCACATGGGACCCCAATAATATGTACAATATTTATGTGACTATGTGTCATTTTAAGAGAAACAAATTAAAAAATAAATTCCCTTGCTGCACATCCTTTTGAATACACCAGCCCTCAGATACAGGGACTTTCCTCCCACCTCAGTCCACTCCTTTTCCTGCTTACATGTCAAGGCTGATTCTGCAGGGAAAGAATGTGGTTTCGATTTCGGTTTTTCATCTGTCTCGGTCCATGTTTTGATGGCTGTGATATCCGGTGTGATGCTGGGCTCCTGAGAGCCAGGCTGAGCAGGGAGCGCAAGCAGGCAGCAGCGAGCAGCCCGTCCCGCAGCGCGGAGCCCGCCCAGGTGAGTGCGTCAAGCCTGGACTGGGACTCGCGGCCGCGAGGATTTCTCCAGGTGCGCTCGGCTTCGGGGCGCAGATGTGCGCCGGTGGGGCCCCGCAGCAGCGCGGGAGGGCGTGGGAGGCCGATCGGGGGCCCTGAGGACTCCGCGGAGATCCGGGCGCAGCCGCGGCAAGGGAAGAAAGCGCGCTGCGCAGGTGCCCCGTTCCTCAGCGTCCACCCGGCCTCGAGCGCTACTGCGGGGACCACGAGGAGTGCAGGGCCACCCTGACCAGGAGGACCGCAGGGTCACCCCTTCCGCTGAAAGTGGGCTTAAGTCCTTTCCGGAACCAAGGGACCAAAATTCATCACCCCGCAGAGGCACGACAGGGAGGAGGAAAAGGGTCACTCTGTCACCTCCTTTTGCAGTCTTCAGAGGGTTCCTAATTACCCCCTGAAAGTAACTGGAGAAACCCTGGGAAGTAATTCAGTCTCACGCCCACTAAGGAAGGTTAAAGTCCGTTAAGAGCTCGAGGCTGGTTGGTGTCTGGAGCTGTTTGCAGCGTGCGGTGCTTCAGAAAACTGCGTTCCTCTGAGTAGCCTGTGGTACTTGTGGAGAATTCAGGACCGGGAGTTGTAACTGTCTCTCTGCAGGACTCTCAGACAGGAACTCTTGGAAACCTTTGATCATCTACACAACCTAATAGAACTGTGTCTCTTTCTATTTACTTAATGTGAATTTTCAAACTTCTTGTCTTGGAAACGTCAGTCCTGAGTTACAGTCAGAAAAAAGAAAGAAAGAAAAAGAAAATAAAAAGTAGGACTAAACTTTGGGGAAGTTCATCAGCCTTTTCTTATGGTTTCCTAAACATCAGATCTGAGGGAAAGAAAGCTTTAATTTCCCCTTTTCCTAATACGTTAGTGAAAAGCTTATGTTTTACTTCATAAATCTGGTTCCCCAACAGCTGCAGAAACAGGACAGAAATTGTACAGAAGAAATTGGTTAGGACACCTATTGGCGTTTTTCCTGACCAAAAAAAAAAATACACTTCACCTCACTTATTGCTAACTTGCAACTCACAGGACATAATAATACGTATGAATTCATTAATGTTTAAAAGTTATGGAGGAGTCATTCCTTATTCAGAAATTGCTGTAGGATATGCTGTAATGAGGTACGGAGGTTTTATTGTGTGTCAACATTTAGCCTGCCTGGTAAGATACAGGGTTGTGCTTAGATGTGACCTAGTTCATCCACAATGCCCCAGGAGCTGTGGGCATGCCTCTCTTCTGTTGCTACGGCAAGCAGAAACACCTAAGTGACACCCAAGATTTGGAGGCAGATTTACTTATGTGGATGGACTGATCGAGATCATTCCCAAAATATCTGGCCCTGATCTCTGATGATCTAAGGCTTGTATGAGATAAGCAAGCAGGAAATACAGAGGCAGAATGGCTTCTCAATTGGGGATTGGTTCTTACTATATGCATCATAGCGACCAGCTGTGCATCACAGTGACCAGCCCTTTCTAAGAGACAGGAGCAACTGGAATTGGATCAGGAACTATCGTCTGAGCAGCTGACATATACTGACTGGGAGGGGGACATTTTCTGTTACACTGTGAAGACCTGAATAGTTGTGCACATGAAAGTCACCTTTGACTTGACACCTGATGGGAGAGCTCCTTCTCCTGCTCTGGCTCTGGCACTCCTGGAATGACGAAGTAAAGGAACCCCATATTGGCAGAAGGCTAGGAGTATATTGCTTAGCATCATCTTGCAAAAAGGACAGTCAAAGCCGTTTGATGGCCTCTGCTCCTTGAGGTCATGAAATGCCTCACTCATTAAAATGAAAACATCCAAAATAATGCCTCTCCCAGACTTAGGAGTTCTGTCAAATCTGGGAAGATCTTCAAATACTCACTCCAAGACTTCTATTCCTCTTTGTTTAATGAACAGGAATATCTTTTTCCTAGTTAAATCAGTTACCTTCTAGGGTGATATTTTTGCCTGGGCACTTAAAAGACACCCTCTGTACTAGTGAGGAAGACATCCCTTTCTTCATCTCTTGTTCCTTCTCTCTTACTCCTCCCACCAGCCTGCTCCGGGAGCACTAAATCTGGCCTCCTCAAGACTGATGATCACCTCCCTTTGTGTCCTTCTCAGGCAGGTCTTCCCTGACTATTCTGTATAAATTCAACTTCCAATACTCTGTATCCCTTTTCCCTTCCTATTTTTCCCAAAGCACTAATTTTTCATGTACTGATATGCATGTGCATGAATATATACATATTTTTCTAATTTAATTTGTTTATTATTTCTCTTTTCATGAGAATAGAATTCCATGAGGAGCAGCTTGTGTCCATTTTGTTTACTACTGGATATTGAACCTGTGCAGCAGAGGGCACATCTGAGGAGATGTTTGTTAAATAAATTATTTTAAGAAACCTAAAGATGTGTTTGGCCCTTGTAGGTGAACTGTATGCACTGAATGTTGTTGATCACATTTTCTTTCTTGATATCTATTCCTCCTGGGCTAAAGAGACAATCACTGTAGAGATTCTCCCACCTCTACTGAGTACTCCTTTCTTAGGCACTCTGTGCCTGGAGTTAAACACAAAATGTTAGTGTTCTGGAACTCCTTCTGTGTCCTTTGCTTTCTCATTCTGTTATTTTAAAAAGAATAAAGACATGACAGCTATGTTTTGAGGAAGTCAATTCTGACAGCTAACTTTTTGTAGTAGATGCTATAGAATTGAGACACATTATTCAGTTTCTGCCCCACTGACCAATTTATAAGACTTCTGAGAAGTTATTTAGCATGCCTACTTTACTACATTGGAAAAGGAGGACTAATACCTTCTAACCTGTAGGCTTCTTTTTTAAGGGCAAGAAAGATAATTTTAGTAAAGCACTACTACCTAAAATTCTCTTACAGAGCGATTTATTAACTAGGATATTATTTTGGAGTGAATCAATCATTGGATCTAAGTAATACTCATATGTCAGCTTTGATATCATGAGAGATTCTGGGTATGATGGATGACAATCTGCTAGTGTAAGATCTCTTGCACTGTACAAAAGTAAGAAGTTGATACACATGTTCCACAATATAGTCAGTATGCATGCCCTTTGAATGACCATTAGAGATGACTTTGAGTAACTTTTTGGGGTTTGCAGGTTACCCTGATCCAACATCATGGATCCCATCTGTCTAGTGGAAAATGATAAAGAACAACTGATGGTGAACCCAAAGGCAATAAAGGTTCTTCAAATGATTACTGATCCTGTGGTGGTAGTAGCTATTGTTGGATTGTATCGTACAGGAAAATCCTACCTGATGAACCGTCTTGCAGGACAAAACCATGGTGAGTGTTGTCTGAGGACGATGGCAATTTCTATGGAACCACTGATAATGCCTGCTGATCACATCTACTCTAGGGCCATCTTAAGGGAGAAAGAAAAAATTCTTAATATTTATTCTTAATATTTATCATCAAATTTGTAATTTGAACTCTATCTATCCACAAAAGTCACTCAGTGCAAGTATTAAAAAGTTATCTCAACTCTAACGATCCACTCTAGTAGTCTGCATATGGCCCACTTTCTCCTGCATAGCTCAACTCTTGTAACTGTGCTTTCTCTCTCATGCAGCGCTTTGTCTAAAATTGTTATGTCACTCCAAGATGCAAACAAATGTAGTTCTATATTTCTTGTTTTGTAAAAAGGAATGAAGGCAAGAGAGAGGAAAGAAGGCAGGAAGGAAGGTGGGAGGAGGGGAGAGAGGAAAGGGTAGAAGGGAGAAAGAAGGAAGAAAAGTAGGAAAAAAATTATGACATATGTATATCTCATATCTCAATGGCACTATATTTTTATTTGTCTGCCTCATTACATAATGAAACTTTAATAAATTATACTCACTATCCTATCCAAGCCTCTGCAAATATGTAAAATATACCAGAGTCCAAAAACTGCATTGTACAGAATAATTAATGAGTATGAACTGAATCTTTATTATTGTGCCAGTAAAGTAAAACAGTAAAACTTGTAAACACTCAAATCATACCATTTTTTTCCATCTATTGCTTATCAGTATTTTTGGTTTCATTATATGTCAACAATATTTTTCAAAATAGTTTTATAATCTATATATGAGTTTGAAAACAGTGATCTGAAAAACTTTAAATTTTATTAAAACAATGTACTATTATAATTTGTTGGTGTTCATACAATATAAGTATCATGTGTAGTTTTGAGTTTATATAAATACACATATCATATGTATTCTTATCTGTCTGGTTTCTTTAGTTTAAGAAACTTATTAATCATCCACTTTGTCACATGAATTCATTAAATTATTTCCAATATTTTATAGTATTTTATTTTATAAAGATAGTACTATTTATTCATGTATTTTAGTGAATATTGGTTTATTTCTGATGTGTATTTAGCTTTTAAGAGAAGACTATCATGCATAACTTTGAAATTTATGTTGGTACTTTTAATTTTGAAGAGATAATACAATGAAAATGATACAGAATTTCAAAACATGGGAAATCAACAGTGGTTATTATATTGCATATTGTTATGTTCAAAGTAGTTGCTCAGATTACCAGATGGAGGCATTTTTATACAAACTTCCCTTATATAATATTGATAGAAGTGGAATTGTTAGACACTCAGAGTATTTGCTCGTTTAGTATTTCCAGATGATATCAAATAGCTTTTTAAACTTTATGTGCAGCTTACATGCTTATTAGAAGCATTTGTGAACTGTCCATTTCTATACAAGAATTTAGTAATACAGGACTTTATTTGAATGTCTTAAATCTCATCATGAATAAGGTTGAAAACTTTTTCAAATATTCTTATTTAGGTTATTTATTTTGTTAAATACACACTCAAGTCTTTTCAAAGACTAGTTCATCTTATTTGTTTCTGTTTGATTTCAAGGAACTCTGCCCAAGTTTCTCTTAATCCTTGTGCCTATGAAGAGCAGCTCCTCTGCCACCCCTTAATATTTTATATCTCCTTGAGCTCAGTACCATTTGGAGCTGAACCTGAGCCTCTATATTCTCACAATTTACTACATCCAAGCTGCTTCTTTCCTTTCTCTTACAGGGTTCCATCTGGGTACCACAGTGAGGTCTGAAACCAAGGGCATCTGGATGTGGTGTGTACCTCACCCTCAGAAGCCAAACCACACGCTGGTCCTTCTGGACACTGAGGGCCTGGGTGATGTGGAAAAGGTAAATCAGAGAGTTGTGAAAGAATCCTCTCCTTGATTCTCCAATTAAACTTAATTTTCCACCATAATTCAACTTTTATGACTTATTTTTGCCAGCTACAAATCCAGTTGTGGGTAATAAGTCTAAATTCCCTTTCCTTGAAATTACTTCTTCGGTAAGCTCAACTATTTTAGTGTATTATGGGAAGATAATGTTATTTTTTTTTAGTTTGGGTGAATAGCATAATTTAGTAAATATTTATTGAGGAGCCACATCCAAGAGTTCTGTATTATATACCATAAGTACTCTAATGAAGGTAAAGCCTATTTCCTAGTTCAGGAGTCAGCATACACTTATGTGATCAGTATGCAGTGTCATGGATGCACAGAAGTAAGCACCTAACCTGGTTGTATGCTTTAGAAAATGCTTCCTGGAGGAAATGACATCTCAGCCATAAAGTGCGAGGCCGGTAGAACTGTATTAGTGTTCTGAGCCTAATGTGTCATGGTACCACAATTTGGGAGGCTCAATAACAGAAGTGTATTTGCTCATAGTTCTAGAAGCTGGAAATCCAAGACCAAGATATTATCAGGGTTAGTCTTTCTGTGGAATGTGAAGGACATTCCTTTTGATGCCTGCATCCTAACTTTTGGTGATTTCATGGCAATACTTGTCATCTGTGGGCTTGCAGAAGTATACTTGGATCACTATCTACAACGTCAGTTTTTTTTTTCCCCTGAGATATATATTTATTACTGTACCTGAAACACCAGTCATGTGGATTAGAGCTTAGCTAATGACTTCACTTGAACTGAACTACCTCATAAGGACCCTGTGTTCAAAAAAGACCATTTTATGAAGTACTACAGGTCAGGACTCAAGCACATCATTTGGAGGGCCTGAGGAAGGTCCAGTTCAACTCTTAATAGAGATCTACCAGTTGAAGTATGTAGGTATGATGGAGATAGAAATAGAAGCCATGAAAATAAGCACAGTTAAATAATCTATTTATTCTTCAGAAAAGCCTTAGCTAAGCCAGGATTTCAGCTTTGGTTCAAGTCTGGATTTTAGAGAAACCTGTTTAATGACTTCTATAAAAGTAAGACCTTAGGCATCCAAAAAAAATTTCAAATAGGATTTTAAGTAGTAAATTAGATTTGAAGTATTTCAGTATAAGATTTTAACTATGTTGGTCTTCATAGTATTAAATGCAGTGAATCCTTTATGCTTCTTATTTTACATTACTCTGAGCCTAACTTGAATGGAGTGGTATGGACTTTGGCTTCCATTGCTATAAAAAAAGATGTAGAAATTTCACACTGGAATCTTGTAGAAATAGATGTGTTGTTTGGTATAAGTCTATTTGAATTGGGTATTTTTAGGGACTGTAAAATAAAAACCTGAAAAGCCTTTTTACTCAAAATATAAAAGATTTCCTGCTTTTCAGAGGAAGTCCTGTGAGCATATTGTCCATATGTACAGAGGAAAAATTTCATACTATAAACTGTTATTGTCTGTAGAGCTACTCATTGACACTAAAACACGGGATGGGATCTGGATCAGACCTAATTCCATTTGCCTGACTTCCATGGCCCATCACATCTTATGGTGAATCTCATTTCCAGCCTGTTCTTTCAAGCCCACCTATCTACCCACCTATCCATTGTTTCAGACAGATGAAATAACTCTGTAATACATTTATATGACCCTATCATATTTCTGCCTTGGTTAGGGCTGATTTTCCACATGTATGATTTCTTAAAATCTGAAATTATATGTTGTACCAATTGTCTAAGGTGAAGCTGCACTGAGACTGTAATCATTGGATCCCAGGCTTATAGCTACATTGCTCTGAAGTTGCACAGCACTTGCTCCCATTTATTGAACTTACCCACTTTTCTACACAGTAGAATGCCCAGTTACTGAAATTAATTTCACTAATATAACCAGTGAATCTAATGAAATGGTTTCTAAATATTTTTGTGTACTTTTATACTCAGGAACTGTATAAGCATTTTACACACTGACAGTATCATTTATTTTTGTTAAAGAAACTAAGGCCCTGTTAATGGCCAAGGTTATAAAGAAAAAGAAGTATAAATTTAAAGTCTTATTCAAAACTCAGTTCTTTGTCCTACTATTCTGCTATATCAGCTGATGTAATGAATAAGTGATAGAATGAGAGAATGATGAGCAGACTCTTCAGCCTTGCTCTACTGTACTTTCTAGGGTGACCCTAAGAATGACTCCTGGATCTTCGCCCTGGCCGTGCTTCTGAGCAGCACCTTTGTCTACAACAGCATGAGCACCATCAACCACCAGGCCCTGGAGCAGCTATAGTATCCTTCCAGGACCTGAGCCAGCATGTATCATTGATTTCAGGGATTTGTTAGAGTGACTCAGTTCTTATGCTTGAGGTGGGGAGTACCTAGGACAGAAGAGAAGGCTTGGAAATTGTTTTTTGAGATCTAGAAATTAGGGTATGTATGTAATGGCTCTCATTCCTTAGCTAAGATCCCAGCTATGTGACTGAACTAACGGAGCTAATCAGGTCAAAATCCACTTCAAATTCTGAGGAAATGGATGACTCTGATGAGTTTGTAAGTTTCTTTCCAGATTTTGTTTGGGCTGTTCGGGATTTCATACTGGAGCTGAAGTTAGATGAAAACCCCATCACGGAAGATGAGTACCTGGAGAATGCCTTGAAGCTGATTCCAGGTACATGGAACATGGTCTGGTTGGGGAGGCTTCGTTCTAGCTGTGGGATCAAGTAAGCCCTATCATTCAGCACTTGACATAGGTGTTGATTTGAGATTGGATTGAGCTCTAAGCTAATGGTAAATTGATGACTCTTCAAGGGTGATTGGTGATAGTTTTTCAAGAGTTACTATTACTTGAGAAATTTCTAGGTGCTAGAGTTTCATCTCACTAAAAAGCAAGGCACGTATTGAAACAAATTATTTTAGACCAATTAAGAACACATGAAAAATAATCCAGATTATAATATTGCTATAGCAAAGCCCCATATATTGTGTTCTTTATTAAGTGCTTCTCCTGTTCTTTATTTAGAAAAAAAATTGGAATTTGATAAACACAGAGTCATATGAAATGAAATGACCTAATTTTCAAATGGTAACTGTTTTATACAGTGTGTTTCCTTAGTACTTGGTGAGTTACCATTCATCAGAATAGAGGTATTTATACAGTAAATAATTAAGAATCAATTCACATTTCTTTCTATTAACACTGTAAAATCTTTTATTTTACCTTTCTTGTAGAATTATCCTCTTCCTTTGACAGACTTACATATAATAATTTTCCTATGGATTTGTTAGTTGTACTATATTTACCAAGGTGGACAAGTTTTGGCACTTAAAATGTCAGTGTTTTATTCATTCTTTCAAAAGCATTAATTGAACAACTTTGCGTGTGACCCAATCATTCTTTAAGGACAAGTGTAACAAACTCTGATACAAGAAAGTAAAGTTTTCAAATTACATTTAAATTAACTTTATTCTTAAAAAGTTTCCAAAGAAAGAAATCACTAAACATATGTATGTGTGTGTGTATATTTGGCTGATATTTCTGTCCTAACCTGGGTATGATTCTGTCCTAACCTGGTGTTTTTCATTATGTCCACTTCGTGACTTTGTTCCTGGAAGCATCTTATCCTTTTCTGGTATCACTTTGTCTTAAGACATATATTTCATCTCTGACAAGGCTATAATAAGATCAGAAAAGGATTTCTAACTCTTTTTTTCATTAGTTGATCACTCAGTAAGTGTTTGTTAAATACTTAATCCATAGACATCTGTATAATTGCTGTGTAGCCTAAAGATGAGTCACCCTACCCATGGATAAATGACCGTAGTCAGAATTACTTTATTGCCTTTCACCTTTGTGCAGAAATGGAGTTTCCTCCCTTTAAATGGTCAGCACCAGGTTGATTTTCAGTAAGTTATCACATGATTGAGTTAGAGGAGTTTTACAAGCAAGGGAATGCAGTGATGCAGAGATCTCTGGAGATAAAAATACTTCAGCTTCTTTCTTGAAAGTTGTCATTTAAAAGACTAATTTTTTTTGAACTTTCACAGGCAGAAGTCGCAAAATCCAAAATTCCAACATGCCTAGGGAGTGTATCAAGAATTTTTTTCCAAAACGAAAGTGTTTTGTCTTTGATCGACCTACAAAAGAAAAAGATCTCTTAGTTCATATTGAGGAACTGCCAGAAGACCAGCTGGATTATAATTTCCAAGCACAATCCAAAAAATTCTGTTCCTACATCTTCACCAATGCAAAGCCCAAGACACTGAAAGAGGGAATCATTGTCACTGGGAACCGTGAGTCACCTTGACATCAGTACTATACCTGTTTTTCGTTATGGGTGAAGTTTGTTCATACCCTGCATTAGGCAATATTTTTTCTTACTACACATAGAAATTCATGTTTCCTAATCATATCTACATGAGGATTTATTAAGATCTAATATTTCTTAAGAAGCTACTCTCTTGATCTCATAAGCACAAGCTGGAGTTAACACAAACCACCCACAGTACATGCATGACTGTCCCATGGGGGGTGTGGCTCTTACCACTTGCTTGTACCACCTGGGACTGACCCATGCTGCCCAATGGGACAGGCAAGCACAGTGAGACATGAATGACCCCATTATAAATGAGTTAAAGACAGAATACCTGTGTTTGAAGTAAATACTATAGGACATCTATTTCTCTGCATGGAGAAAAACACATTTTGCAAATTCACATTAGTAATAAATTAATAATAAGATAAACAATAGGCCAAGATTCCTGAAAATTCATTGAATTGAGGCCAAAATTGAGTATGAGCTCATGAACAGATGTGGTTTCTGATTCTGACCTGTGCAGACATGCAGTGCCTTATGCTGAGAGCAACTTCCCTGGCTTAGAGCTCTGTCATTGCTCTGAAATTGTCGATGATATTTTATATGCAGATTTAGTGTCATTTGGGACTCGGTCTACAAATTAGGCAATTAGATTCATATATGTGATGTACTTCTCCTTTCTAATCTCCTGCTTTTCCAGTTTGTACTAGATTGTTAAGAGAATATAATTATCACATTGGTGATTATCAGTGATTTAAATTACTTGAATTAGAAGCATTAAAAATTTGAACACAAAAGTCAGTAATTTCACTCGAAGAAAGAGAACTTTCTCAAAACACAAAAAGGTTTTTTGTGCTAAAACCAGTTTTGATGATCTTTGGAACACTGATTCCAAAATAATATAGAAAAACAGATAGTAACCTGGTATTTGTCTTTAAGTTATTTGGCTTTTTTAGGGCTGGGGGCTCTGGTGGAGACCTATGTGAAGGCCATCAACAGTGGGGCAGTGCCCTGCTTGGAGAATGCTGTGACCACTCTGGCCCAGCGTGAGAATGCAGCAGCCGTGCAGAAGGCAGCCGACCACTACAAAGAGCAGATGGTCCAGAGAGTTCAGCTCCCCACAGACACTCTCCAGGAGCTGCTGGATGTGCATGCGGCCTGTGAGAAGGAGGCCATTGCAGTCTTCATGGAGTGGTCCTTCAAGGATGAAAGTCGAGAATTCCAGAAGAAGCTGGTGGTACTGTGTTCTATAAATTTTTTCCCCTCCCTGGCCTTGAGGAATGATGTTTAAAGCCTACTATTTTGACCCCTGTGCATAATGTCCTATACCTAAAGGAAGGAACTTGCATTTATGTGAGTGGCAGGGTTCTATAGGCTGGCAGTTGGCATTCTATCTCAAAGACAGTTGATATCTCATTGGTGCATAACAAATTAGAGTGAATTTAAGAGCTTAAAAAAGCAAAAGACATTAGCTTACAGCTCTGTTGCTCATGAGTGCATTGAAGAAGGCTGAGTGCTGTGCTTAAAAGCAAAGGTCAGCAAATAGAGTTCTCAGCTGCAGGTTCTAGAGAACCTCAAAAGTCAATCAAATTCTTCCAATTACTTGGTCTGTGATTTACAAGAACAATAAAAAATTTTCTTCACTTTACTTTTACACACTCAAATGTTCACTGGAAAAATTAAAGAGGGATTCCAAAACCTAGAGTACACAGAAAACCTCAATCATTATTTGTTGGGTTGGCATTTCCTGTGTACATTTTCATGCACAGCAACATGAATCCCCTTGGAAAACTCCCAGTCACTTTCATCTTTTATTCCCCGTTTGGGGGTTGAGTCACTATTAATTGCAGTGCTGCTGAAGGAACCAAGCAGTTTGTGTCTTTTAATTCCATCCTTTTAGAGAGAATGAGCAGGGTGCCAAGGCAGTTGAGGGGTTTGCCAAGGTCACACAAAAAGTCTCCCAACTCCTGTGGTCCTTTCCATGCTCCAATACAATCACAGGTCATCAGACTGCTTCTTCTTGAGGCACAGTGGGACCTTCCTTCAACTGCTCATTCTCTTACATCCCTACATTACCCTGGCAGGGAATCATCGAAGAAAAAAAGGAAGCTTTCTTGTTGAAAAATGAAGAGGCATCTGTCAAATACTGCCAAGCTGAACTGAAGCAGCTCTCAGAGCCCCTGATGGAAAGCATTGCAAAAGGAATTTTCTCTGTTTCTGGAGGCCACAGTCTCTACGTAGAAGCAAAAAGGAAGGTCGAACAGGGCTATCTCCAACTGCCCAGGAAAGGAGTTAAGGTGAGAAGTACGAATTAGGAAAGGGGAATAGAGAGCAGTTAATTAGTGTAGTGCTGTCCCTTAAAATCTAAGAACACTGAGCCATCTAAGAGGAGAGATTACAGCACATGATGATTCTATATTTTTAGCTTTTATGTCAATAATTGATTATTTTTGATGAAATGAAACATTCTTCCCCCCTCCAAAAAAAAACAGAGGATACTATCAGTAATCCCAGCTGGAGTAGAACTTTTCTTCCTCAATCAAACAATGTGGTGTAGTGTGTGTGTGTGTGTGTGTATGTGTGTGTATGTGATTGTTTTTGAGGAGCTGAGTACAGAGGATTCAAAGTTCATGACACACCCTTTTTTACAAAATGCTGATGATCTTGCTTCTGATAGAAATAATCAGTTGGCTATAGTGTTGTAAACATTGTCATCTTGACATGAACAGAAAATAGAAATAATGATGCACCTACATTCATGAGGATATTAGTAATAATGCTGACACATATTCTATACTCTCATATATCATATGTGTAGTCAGTAACCTAAGGTTACAAGGTACTTTTGGAACTAATTTAATCCTCAGGATAATGTGATGAATAGGTACTATTATTAGTCATATTTTATAGTTGAAAAATGCAATACTCAGAGAAATAAATGAATTCCAGGCCCCAAAGACAGTAGTTGGGAGAGCTGCTTTACAGGGTAGCTTAGTGTACTTAGCAGCAATTCTAAACTCTGAAGTCTGCCCAGGAATACTTACTATAAGATGAAGTAAAGGGTCATGGTGAATTATTAATGAGTGTAATATGAATTAAGAAAAAAGATGCAATCATCCTATAAGAAGAAAAGAATGTTAAAATATATGAAATAATAATATGTTTCAAGGATGTACATAGATCTGATTGGCTGCAATCTGGGTGTTTTAATTACTTTTCTCATTACTGAGTCAAAGTACCCACCATTCACAAATTAAGTGGGGAAAGGTTTATTTAGATCACAATTTAAAAGGTTTCAGTCCATCATCAGCTGGCTCCAAGGCAGGGTAGCATGGCAGACAGGCATCAGAAAGGAGAACAACTTTTTTCTTCCCCTTTTATATTATATCTAGGATACCAGGATTAGAAAATTACCAAACCAGTGGACTGATTAAAAATCATACATCTTTCATCCCAGGATTACACACTGTAGTTTGAGCCATCTCTGAAACAGCTCTATCTATGACTACATGAGGCTTTGAGGGAAACCTAGATTCAAACTATAACATTCCACCTCTGTTCCCCTAAAGACTCATGTAGATTCCTTTATGCAAAAGACATTTAGTCTATCTCTAACAGTTTCAGCATTGCTCAAAAGTTCAAGCCCTAAGTTTCTGCTGAGATGTAAGGCAAACTCTTAGCCATGAGCCTCTGTACAATGAAAAGAAAGTTAATCACTTCCAACATCCAATGGCACAAAGGAATGGCACCAAAGTAAGTCCAAAATCCAGCAGGGAAAATGTTAAGTACTGTCGTTCTATGTGCAGCATCTGAGGCAGTCAGTGGCAAGATATGAACTCCAATGGGCTTGGGTAGCTCAACCCCTGTGGCACTTCAGGTGGGTGTGGCTCCCATGGCTTCTTTTTTGGCTGGCTGTGCTCACTCTTTGCAGCTTTCCTTAGAATACCTATGTTCCTGGCTTCTCCAACCTTCTAGGATCTCGACTGCATCTTTGGCTTCATGTCTACAGCTTCACATACTGTCCTTTGAGAAGCACAATGCCTGGCCTCCTAGGCCTTCTTTTGAAATCTGGTTGGAAACTTTTTGATCCCATAACTCTTGCATTCTGTATGCACCTAAAACTAGCACCATATGGGTGACACCCAGATCTACTGCTAGCTGGAACAGTAGCCAGGATTCCTTCTCTCTTGGTTGTAGGGGTCCTGTGCCTATGAACCAAATCCTCTGCTCTAGGGGTCTCTTGTCAAAGAAAAGACTTTCACCTTTGCAGTTTTGAGGCTGCAAATGGTGGAGTTCTACTGCTCCCTATAATGCCCTCAGGCTATCTTTTCTATTTTCCTGTTCCTAGTCAGCAGTCAAGATCTCCTTTGCTATATCTTTGCAGTCCACAGCTTTATTGGTGTTTCCTTTCTGGCAAACTCAAAACATTTTAAATCATTCTTCTAGGCTGTTTTCTGTTGGTTCTCAAAATAAATCAGCTAAAGTCCCCCAGTGGTACCCATACCACCACCTCAACATTAGACTGCCTTGAAATTTCTTCTGCAAGATAAATAAGTCTGCCACCCTTAATCTTAGTCTCAGACAAAGTCTCTGGACAGGAGCAAAATGCAGCCATACTTTCTGTCAAGCATAAAGCACATCGTCTGGAGTCCAGAAGCCAGTGCAGTCCTTCCTCCCAGTAGTAATCTACTTGGCCTGGTCTTTTCTAGCAGGATTTCTATCAGCCTTCTGGTCTTTTGTACCCTGACCAAAATACCCTATCAAGTATGCCTAAGGCATTCTGGCTTTACTTTTTTACTGGCAGCTCCAAACTTTTCCTGACTCCTCCCTTTCCCATAGCAAGTACCAAAAGCTTCTAAACCATGTGTATAAAGAGCCCCTCCTGGTCCTCATCTCAGTCCAAGAAGTTATATTTGTAATCCCATGGAAAAGTTATAGGAATTCTAGTGAGATAATTCCAATCTACCACTTCCAGTGCAACCCATGATGATAATAAAGACACTAGTCATATTTGTAATTGTAGGGACTCAAGGGGTCCTAAATTCAGATAGGATAATGTCTAACCAGAACAAAGGGCTGAACTCAGCCCAAACCTGGGTTTTATTTTTTTTTATTTTTTTATTTTGGTTTTTCTCCGGTACCGGGAACCGAACTCACGACCTTACGCTTGCCAGGCAGGCGCTTTCTGGGTTTTATTAATTCATGAAGAAGGGAGTGGCTTGATGATGAGTGATTGTATGATGGGAAGCACATGAGTGCGGTGAGCTGAGCTAGGTAGGTGGTCTGAAATCACCTCTGCAATATGCACAGAGAAGGATATGAAGAAAAAGTTATCTGTATGACACAACTGAGGTAGTATCTCATGTTTTAGAGTCAGTTCTTCAGCTCTGATGTGTAATCTTTTTTCCCTGGGAAGTCTTTGTGTTTTTGGTTTTTTTTTTTTTTTTGTCTTTTTTTGGTTTTTCTCCAGTACCAGGAACCGAACTCATGACCTTGTGCTTGCCAGGCAGGCGCTTTGCCACTGAGCTAAATCCCCAGCCCTCCCTGGGAAGTCATAGCCTCTTATCTGAGGCTCAATCCAGCTGACAGTATGGAGCATGGCTCTCCATCCTGCCCTGGCTCACACATATTTTGGGGGAGCTGTGGAGGTAGGGAAACATTGCTCTGTTGCCTTGCTTCAAAGACTACACATCAGCACTACAGCTGGACCGATTTGCCTTGCTTAAAGCCAATTGAAGGGATAAGGAAAAGTCCTGGCCAGCTCTGTACATTTCAATACATGGAAATAGGGCCAAATTTAGTCAAAATATAGATAACTGCTCTTCTTTCAAGGAGAGTCATCCAGATGGCTCTTCACAAACATGTTCAGTTACAACCACAGCAACAACCCCACTTATTGGTACCAAATTCTGCCTTAGTTACTTTTCTCATTGATAAGACAAAAGAACCATATGAAAAACGAAGGAAGGAAAGGTTTATTTAACTCACAGTTTATAGAGGTTTCAGTCCAGGTTGGCTGGCTTCAAGGCAGGGTGGCATGCAAGAAGAATATCACAGAGAAGAACCAGTTCATGGCAGGCAAAAGAAAGTAAGAAAGCCTTTTTCTGTCCTTTATATTATATCCAAGCTACTGAGATTAGAGTGGTGCCAAACCAATTAGTGGACTGATTCAGTAATCACTCATCCTTAATCCTAGCATCACACACGCTAGACTCAGCCATCTCTGAAAAAGCCCAACCTATGTTCACATGAGGCTTTGGCCTGACATCTAACACAAGCCATAACACTGGGATAGGTGGTGGGAAAGTTTGGGAAACAAGATAGGTGGTGGGAAAGCTAGAACAGACACTGCTGTGGAAGGCTTTCAAGTCCCACAAGCGATCGGAGTTTACATTGTGTTTGTGGCTAGAAAGGAAGCTGGCTTTTTTTTTTTTTTGAGACAGGGCTTCTCTTTTTAGTACAGGCTGGCCTTAAACTCATTATATAGCCCAGGCTGGCCTTGAACTCATAGTGATCCTCCTACCTCAGCTTCTCGAGTGCTGAGATTAAGCGGGTGAGCCACCACACCCAGCCCTCTTAAGAAAGGGAATGTTAAGGGGGGTACAGAATTATAAAGTTCAGAGAACAATAATCTGCCCACCAAGAGAGTGAATCTATGCTACCTGATATTTTTCTGCTCCTTCTTGTTCCTCAGGCAAATGAGATTCTCCAGAGCTTCCTACAGTCACAGGCTGCCATAGAGAAATCCATCCTGCAGTCAGACAAAGCCCTCACTGAGGGAGAAAAGGCCTTAGCAGGTACAGCCTGGGGAGGGGGCAGGTTGTTTCAAAGCCCTCTAGCTAACTGTACAGGAAAGTTTTCCTTAACCAAAGAGTTTCCTCTCCTACAATAGATCTGCTGCCTGGATGTCTCTGCACTCTCAGATTATTTTAATCTGAAATAAGAGGGCAAGTGTGCTGTCCATCAGATAAATTATGACTCATATTTTGAAATGTGATCCAGAAGGCACGGTGACCAGGATCATTTAATGAATTCTCCCTTGGCTTTTTTGAAATCAATTTGGTCTCTCCACTCAGGCCTGAATGTTGTTCCTTCTCTCTCTAAAAACTTTCTGGAGCAGCTGAGCGGACCATGAAGGAAGCAGCTGAGAAGGAGCAGGAGCTCTTAAGACAGAAACAGAAAAAGCAACAGCAGATGATGGAGGCCCAAGAGAAAAGCTACCAGGAAAACATGGCTCAACTGAAGTGGAAGATGGAGAGGGAAAAGGAGAACATTCTGAGGGAGCAGAAAGGAATGCTGGCGCACAAGCTGAAGGTGAGCTTTCAGGGGACCTAGAACATACCATGGAGACAATTGTGAAGCCTGCCACTGGCCCATCCCTTCTTACTCTCAGGAAGGTACTGAGGGAAACCTAGGAAACCAGGTGCCATGGACATTCTCACTGCCAGGAAACCTGTGGAAACATCAGACTCGTTCATCAAGAAGCGCTTTGGGGGTTGAATAAAGGCACGTCCTTAGCTGTTGCAATTGTTGAGGGCAAATTCCAGACCAATGTTGAGTGTGATTTTTTGCTTATAGGTCCAAAAAGAACTACTTGAGCAAGGATTTGTAAAGAAATCTGAGGAGATGAATGCAGAGATACAGCGACTACAAAAAGAATTTAAAACAGCTAAGGAACACAAATCCTCTTTGGGTGCACGCATCTTTGATGGAATTGGCAATGTGTTACTTTCAGAACTGCCGGGTGTCACTAAGCTATTTGGTGCAGGGTTGAAAATTATTAGTGAAAAAATGAAAAAGGCTCAGAATTTCCCTTAGCAAACTATAAGTAGGCTTCTTCTGTTTTTCTGAGGCTCAGTTTTAAAAACTGTCATTTTTAGTTTCAGTTTATAAAGTTAAAAATAAAAGATATGTATCAGAGCCTACTGCATACAAGACAAACTTAATATTTAATATTTGATTGGACTAATTTAAATAATGAGTGGATTTGACAATATAATAAAAGACTAAATTTGTAATATCAACAAATACCACACAATACAATGATTTGGAAGTCAATAAAACTCATTTTAAGACATTTTCAGTTACTGCACATAACAATTTTTTGAATGTACAGAAATAAAAATGTTGATTCTTCTTGTATCAATATTTACTACATCAAATGTAATTCAAATAAATATACCAAATATTTTCTTTGGAAGTAGATTTATACTGTCTATATGGCAAAAGTCCCAAGCAATATGGACGATGAAAATCTGAACTAAAACAGAAGGGAGAGACAGCACAGGCTGGTAAACGGTCCAACATATAGCATAGTGGTGCTAGCCCCTGGATATTGAAGTGGCAATAAAGTAAACTTGGAAGTCTGAATACTTTCATAGAGGCACACTGGCATTGAATATATAATAAAGTTCACATATTACAAAATTTTCAACAAAATTGAAAAGGAAATTAAAGTTCTTACACATTATACCAAAAAACGTCAAATGTCACTGCTGTTGCTCTTTCTGTTTCTGTCTTAAGAGTTCCTTCTGTTTCTATCTTAAGATCAAAATGTAGACATGAAATATTATATCTTAAAAGTAAGTGAGAAGGAAGAGTATTCAAATAAATCTCCTGGAGGGAGGCCCTTTCGCAGTGTGACATATTAGAAACACATTTCAAAACAAAGACTTGATAATGTTAACTACATAGAAAGTCATTCTCCATGGAAAAACACTAGCAAAGTAAGACAAATGGCAAAACAAGGAATATATTTTATGTTAAAAAATGGTAAAATTATTTGTAACATGCTTTAATCACTGAGATTAAAGACCAACTCCTTTGAAAACACTGGACAAATATCTAAGATGGAATTAAAGATGTTCAACTTCAACAGTAAGAGATGTGAAAACAAAGTTACGAGATACCCAAATTCACTGCAGGTCAAGAAAGAAAACATTACTTTTGGTTTGTTTTATTTTGACACAAGGATTTAGGTAAACAGAAAATATCTTCTGTTTGCTACTAAGAGTGTGAGTTGCTACAATTATACACCAAAGTAATCCATGCAACAGCCTTTGATCCATTATGAAATTATCCTGTAGAGTTAATGGCATGTGTATCAAGTGGCACATGTATTAAAATATATGTTGCAGCAATGCATCTTGGCAGAAAACTGAAAACCACTAACTTTCTGTGGGTTACTAGTAATAGATACCAAAGGAGATCCAGGCAAAGGAATACTCTGCAGTCACTACGTTGAAAGGACAATCTCATTTGTATTAATTAATACAATTTCCAAGATGTATCATAAAATGTAGAAAGGAAAGACATAAGCAATGTATATAGATGCTCCCTTTGACTACAGAAAACAATATGCATGTACTGATATTATATAACTCAAGACAAATATACAATAAGTGTACTTTTGCCCTTGTTTCAGCATTTTTCAGGGAAATTGTACAATAGCTGTGTTCCTGTAGACTACCTGATTCTTCACATGCTTGAGACTGACTTACAAGCCCCCAGGGATGCAATGAGGTTGTCACACAGTCGAAGAGCACTTGTCTAGGCAAGGCCCTGAGTTTGATCAACAACAGCACAAAAACAGAAAGAAAATAAAACACACAAAGAAATCCCCTTGAGCTAAGCCTGGGTGGTACCAACTGAGCCTTCTGAAGCTCTTGAACCACTGTATATTTGATGTCGCACTGTCCCTGACAGCCGCCCACAGGGACTCTCTGGCTTTTCACCTTGCTTCTTTGTATCCTCCTGTGAAGAAGCTAACTAACCAGTTGTCAGATGTCTGCTTTTCTGACCAATATCAGTAGCTCCTGGTGGTTACATATGAGGGAGCCTAAATCCCTGAAGTCAAAATTCCACACCAGGTTTTTGGTTTCAATAAGAAAATGTTCAAACTAAATTGTGTTGCATATGTGTACCTGGATAATAGCAAGGAGATCCGAAGTGTTAAAGAATCTATCAGCAGTCCTGGGAACACCTTCCCTTTGAATCACTGGGAATGGGAGCAGGGAGCTTCTGTTGCAGGAGTACTGGCCTTGAAATGATTTCAGAGACAGGATCCTTCTGCAGTGGGGAGGAGGCCAGCAGGTTGTAGCTCTGGAATAGGGCATAGCTGACATGTGCTACTCGGCCTGCTGTTCCCCATGCTTTGTTTATAGAAGGATATTGTCTTGGTTACTTTTCTCTTGTTGTTGACACAAAATATCTGACACCCAAAGTTAAAGGAGGAAAAGTTTATTTACCTCACAGTTTGTGGAGATTTCAGTCCAGAATCAGCTGGCTCCAAGGCAGGGTGGCATGGCACAGGGGTAACAATTCAAGGAGTCATAAGACAGAAAAAGCAACAAGAGCAAAAGGGGAGAAGAGCAAGCCTCTTTTCCTCCCTTATACTGTAAGCAGGCTACCACCCCATAGGGCGGGTGTGGCATTCACACCATCTCATTGCCTTTTTCTTGTACAGCTCAGGGTTTTTACAAAGTGAGGCCCCTGGTCCCCTGCTGAATCACTTAGTGAAATTTCTAAACTTCCCAAGTTGACACAATGTATCAGCCATTACAGGTGTCCTGTCCTATTTTCTCTCCTGACTGACCTCATGCTCTAAACTTCACTGACTTTCCACTCCATCTTACACCAATTAGTAATAACTTCATTACTGATTCTGAACCCAGCGCTTCATAACCCTAAGTAAACTCTTCCTGATTAAAACAATCCACACGCATGTTACTTTTCTCCCCCATGAATGTCAAAGGGCTCAGCATCTAAAAACATATCACATGGCTAACTGTAAGGTATTTGAAGTGAATTACTACATAAATAAAATTAACCCAGTATTGCCATCCAGTTTTATCTAATTTGCTAGCAGTACAATGCATCTTTCTTGACTTCAGTGACCCTATATCTGTTGAAGCTCATATTGTTCCTTATCCTAAGCAGCCTCTTCAGTCTAAACTGCCAGTATATAAATAAGTTATTTGTGCCAAACCAAACCCTAATATGTAGATGTTGCTTGTAAATAAATGTCTAACAATAAGTGACCAGTTGGAAAGCAATACCCAATCCCATAGGGGTTATCCAGAAATAGTTTCTTGAAATAAATAATTTCCTTTTTAAAATGTAAAATGCTCTACATTCCCCATATGCATTTGTAAGATTATACTGTACAAGCACTTCCTTTTCATTGAAAACAAGTTCTTTAAAAAAATAACCACTATTTCATTCACTGAGCTAGTAATCTTGTGAGTCATGGATATATATGGTGCTATGGTCGCCTCAAGTATTTTTTCATAAATAGAATCTAATTTAATATACTGAAAATAAGTCATTATTAACCAATATTCCTAAATTTAACTTTAGACAATAAATTAACTCTTTCTGGAAAGAAGCTTCATAGGTAGAAAATTCACTTCTCAAACATGTAAAGTTCCCCCTAAAATTTACTTGTGCCTTGGAACTATCTTTTGGTGGCCTGAGATAAACATAAATTTTACTGGTGAGAAGAAAAATCAGCTGATTTCTTAGCAGTGATCCTATTCTGAAACAGCCTTGCTTTCACTTTCAGTCTGCTCACATAGTTTCAGTTTGTGTCCTGAAATAAACAATGGAATTTGGTTTCCAGGAAAATCTGGGAATAGCCTTATTTCTCATCATGGAGAAAAACAGGAAGCTGGCAGGCTGAAAAAGAGTGTGTTATTCCAATGTTAAACAATGTTATTGTTATTATTGTTATTCCTATTTTTATTACCTATTAACAGTGGATAGACAGGATATTTTCAAATGGAAATGAGCAAAATTGGTGAGACGTTGCCAGTTATCCTTAGATTGGGGTTAGAGAGACACACTGACTGGCCACTGTAGAATCTGAACCTCTATTTTGAATAGCCCATGTAAAAATCTTATTTTAAATTATCCAATGACTCCAGAAGATACTCCAAATTCTATAGATGATCAAGACACAGCAGAGGCAACTATTCTGATTTTTTGTATTAGACACTGGGTTTTTCTGTTTATAAACATTATATAAGTGAAATCTTACAATGTATATTCTTCTGTGTCCAAATCTTTTTGTTCAGCATGATGATTGTGATGTTTATTCGTGCTTGCTATAACTAGAGATTAGTAATGTTTATTACTATAAATTTTCTGTTTAACATTGATTACCTATTAACAATGGATGGACAGTTGGGATATTTTCAATTGGAGCTACTATATATATTCCTCTTATGACTGCTATAATTATTCTATATAAGTCTTATACCCCCCCACCTGAATACATTTTCCTCAGATGTATATTTAGGAGTCATGTAGCCAAATCAAAAATATATTTGTTCTATTTTGTAGATAATGCAAAATGGTTTCCACTGTGTACTTTAAATCATCATCAAACTTACAATGCTTTCGAAAGCAGAAATAGCTTTCAGGAGGAATAACAATTTGTTTATGTTTCATGATTTTACGTCTGTCTCCTTGTTTGGCAATGATGCTCCTCTGAAAGCTGGTAGTGTGTGGAATAATCTCTATGCCATTTCTGATTGAACATGTTTTGTAAGTACCTCAAGGAGGAGGAGGAACAGGCATTATGGAGAGAAGAAGAGTGCAACAGAAAAGAAGAGAAAGGGTGGGAAGAAAGATATGGATTCTGCAAAAAAAAAAAAGGGGGGGAGGGGGCAGAAGAGTTTAAAAAACGGCTCTTCTCGTTTGGGAGGAATTGATATCGTCCTTCAGGTTTGGCCATTCCTTGAGACATTGGGCCACATTGCCCTGGACAACTGGGCCCCTCTGTGACCTAACCCTGCTGATCAGTTTGGGTGAGAGCATCTTTATCACCTGGGAGGAGTCCATTTCATAACAAGAAGCCAAGTTGTTCTTGATCCTGCACCCCTCAGAGACGTCCTAGTTAAAACCTGGCTTCAGGGAATTTATTCCTGTGGAAACATTTTAGGATATCTTTCTTATTTCAGATGTTTGTACATCACCTCTTTGGGTTTTTGTTTTCTTTAATCAACACAAATGTTAATTCTGCAGGTCTTGGAGTGGTAACACTAAGTAGAAAAGATGTAAATGAATAGCTTTTACCAGTAGTCTGATGGACCCGCTACTAAGGTCAAAATGTCAGACCTTCTTGCTCTACAATGGATGGCCTCTGACAAGTTTTGGACATGCATATGCGGGAATTGTTAGCCCACATTAACAACAATTTGTTAACAACATTGTGTTAACAACAATTTGATTATCTGCATTTTCACAATCACAATTCAGACATCATAGACCACAAATAGAGGCCAAACTCTCTCTTTTTTAAATTTCACAAAGGGATTCTTGGAACCAACGGCAAAGCTGTTCTTTGCAATTATCTTCACTAAATG